AAAGCAGATTTGAACTCAGCATCCAAAAACACGTACAGCAGTGTAGGTCTCATTTCAAATGGCCACTTCGACTTGGGATCCTTCCCTGGTTAGTTCTATCCTCAAGTGATGCTAGAAAATTCACAAGGGATGTTTAAAAGAAGAGACCACTCGGAACTGAGATGGTGACAGAATACTCTGTACATGTCTATCGATATTACGTAGTATTCAGTAGCGATGTTAAGATCCGGACACGGAGAGCTTTGAATTAGAAGCCTTATCACATGACTTTACTTAGCTATCTCCTACGAATAAGTCTACGGGTGTGTCTGCTAGTGTTTCGATGTATGGGTCGGCTCGCAGATGTGAAGAAATTCATGACTCTAGAGCGCTCCATTTTTGAAAATATATGGGCGGTTAATAAAAACGATGATATCATGCAATACGAGGTGGTAACAGTTGGTAAGGCCATGAAAAGCCTTGAAAGGTGAGTACTGCGTCTTTTCGGCCTTTCGTGTTCACTATGGAACGTTGACAACAGGAAATCGTGAAACATGGTGGGTGGTGAAGGTTGTGACGCGGTCGTAGGCAGATACTTGCAGGTAGATACTTGGTAACAGAATCTTAAAACAATCGACGAAAGCTGTTAAGAAGACATTGGGTCTCTTACATCGTTCATGTTAACAAAGAGGGCCCGACAATTGGCGAGTGATGTGAGATGTAACTACATGGTGACGATTTGGGACAGGAAACGGTAACAACTGAGAAAGGCTGAAAATGGGCTCTGAGTTGCAGAAGCCATCGATCAATTCCTCTCTTAAATTAGGATGGGACCTTGATACGTCATGATGTCTGTGTGACTAGATGGCAGATAACGGATAACACAAAATAATAGCAGTTGAGGGTGGCTGACAAGAGATCTTAAAGGCAAAAGCCACACAGTTCTTATGACCTCTTGTATTTTTGAGTTACCCTATGTACACCCTAACAATTTTCTTTCAGTAAGGCGGGATAGCATAGTAGGCTGACAAAACGACAATAAAGGCGTCGGACTAATCCAACCCAGCATCATAAAAGATAAGGATGAGGGTGGTGTGGAAGCAAGAAGCGCACTATAACGCACGCACGAACAGGAGAGCAAATAACGGATCAGTACTCGCCTAGATCAACCCAGTCCTCCGTCCTTCCGGGGCTGGTGCCAGAAGTGTCAGAGAGGAAGGAAGGAGTCACCGTATTTTCTTGAATAGGCCACTTTCTGTGCAGGCACCCAATTACCTCTCAGACCGAAGTAAACGGCGGAGGCGCATCCCAAAAAAGGGAGCGCAACCGATCAAGTTTGCCCCTCGATCATGATTCACGTATTCTCTTCGCTATTCGTATTCACATGCGACCAAAGTTAGTCAGACTGCTACACACAGCTCTGGAACGTGATTTCCCTATCTTGCGGATTTACTTCTTACTTCTCAGCTGTGAAAAAAACCTGAGAGCTCGCTGAGACTAGAAAGATTATCTTTCCAGCAGGAAGGAGTACGCTCTCGAATAGAAAATGCTTACAACTGAAAATTACGGCTGCGTCTCATACAGGTTTGGAGATGTGAAAAAGCAAAAAACAAGCTATTAAGTTCGCATTGAGAGTTAGGGTATGTCTGGAGTGGTGACTGGTGTCAGTTGGTCTCCTCGCTAACGCTCATAAAAACAAATCACGTGTTCACATGATAGCTGAAAATGATTATGATAGCTCACTCAACGGTATATGTCCCTCGGTTGAATTTCGACGGCAACATTGTAATAGCAAGGATAGATAGCTATTGTCGGCCATCTTAAACTGGTCGATAGCGAATAACGGTATCAACACTTTTCATGTTGCACAGTGTTACTAGTGTTTCATCAGAGACACGGAAAATTCGCTACAAGACACTGTCACTGTAGGCGACCAATGGGCGAGCATGCTTGTTCGTTTTCCCTTTTCGCGCGTGATTCTCATGGGGACGACGTAGTAGTATGTATTTCTAATTCGCCGTTTCCATTGCCGCATCCTACTATATATAATTCGCTGAGTGTGTCTGTTGGTTTGTCAGTGTGTTTGTGTGTGTGTCGGTGTGTGTGTCTAACCGGATGTTCATATGTTCATAACTTCTGTCCCCGGCGACCTAG